TGGGCTTGACATCTCTTTTCTTTAGCAGGATTTCATCAGTCAGCTCATCAAGGTTTAACTAACATAGTTCTGCACCTAGGTTCCTAATGACATATGTGGAAATGCTTGGTGGTTTGGTGGCACAACCTAGATAGTTAACCTTTCCACAGCTGTTTGTCTTGAAGCCTTTGTTCCTGATCTTCAACATGTTGTTCCTTCTCACTTCGGTCTCCACTAGATGAATCTTTGTCTTCTTGTTTTTCTTTGGAGTTTGCTGATCCTAAATGAGTTCAACCATCTTAGACATCTCATCGTGTAGGGAGGAGTCCACTTCCATGTCATCATCCACTGCCTCCTCTTCTTCAGTAGAGATGGGGGACCATTCTATCAGTTTGGAGTAGGTCAATACTAAGGTAGGGGGCAGACCACTAGAATGAGCATCGATTTCTTAGAAGACAATGGATAACTTTTATCTGATTCAGTAAGAAAAGCTTGGGCTCTTGCCAAGACAAAGTCCTTGGCCCATGGAAAATGAGTTGGGCTTTGAACTAGAGATAGGAAAAAAGTAGCCCAATCTTTAGGCTTGTCCACTGCTAGTGATCCTTTCCTGTGGGTGGTTTCCTTATCCCATGGGGACAAAATTGGCCTACTGCCAAAAGTTTGGGTAACAATTTGGGGTGGTGGACTATCCACAATTCTAAAAGTCCATCTTAGAGGTTATTACCCAATTGTTCCACCTGGTTGTTGCCCTGCTACTCAAGAAGATTATGCTCTACTAGTTCTGCCTCATTCATGAGCATATCTTCTAGAAATTCATGATGTAAAATTTTTTTGTTGTGAATGGGAGGTGAAGGAATGTTCAGCTGCACTATAAGGGCAATCTCCTACTACAAAGGTGGCTCAGGCTATTCTACTTCAGGTTGGGCAATTTCCATCTCCACTTCTTCATTCAGATGGACCCAATCAACTTCCTGTTCCTGATGTAGCCCCTACACATGGCCAAGTGGAGGATGGATGATCACTTCAACTGGGTCCTCATGGATGGGTGCTTCATTGAGGTCCTGAAGCAAAGGCATTTGCTGGTTTTGGCCCACCTGCTATTCAATGGGGTGCAACTCTTCAGGCCACATGTCCCAATTTGCCCCCTGATCATTCATCTGTTGCTCAGGCGCCATCTGTTGCTCCATTGGAGGCTAAAACTGCTGCTGATTGTTTGGCCTAGGTCACTGCTGTCCTAGCCCAAAGAGAGCAAATGGAACCTGCCCAAAGTTTTGTGCTTCAACAGGGATCTGATCTTCATTAGGAGGGGCTGCACCAAGTATCTCTTGCTAGACTATTTCACATTGTATGGTCCACAAATCACTTTCCATGCCTTTAAATTCAGAGAAAACAATGAAGTATGGAACAGATTCAAGACCTACCACAAGGGCTCTTACCATCAACCAAGTTTTGTGATCAAGGTTGAAAGTGCAATCAAGCCCTAATTATGGATTTTTGTAATAATGACCACGCAATTAGAGAACTAATGAGATTTATCGAGATAACAAGCAGGGAATTTATATTCGAGGATGTTACACGAAATGGAGGAGACCCCAATTACAAATGTTGATGGCTTAAAACTCAAATGAGGTTTAAATTCTTTTATATTTTGAATTTGAGTATAGAAAAAGTCATACTATAAAGGAGAGCACAATGCTTAAGCTAACATGTGCTACCAAGTGTTTAATCTTACACATACATTCTCAGTTACTCAGCCAAGACAGCCAACACTTCACTCTTACCCTTGCTATCTTGCTTGGTGCGGCAGTGTCGCACCTAGAGAGAGGCACTACCACACTTGAGCCACATGCACTGCCGCGACTTAAGTGACCGTTGGGGCTAGGGGGTACTTATACCTTTCTCCTTCCTTCCCAACATCTCTCTTCTCTCTCCCACTCATGTAGCTCGTCCAAGAATAGAAGAATGCCCTTCTCTCTCCTCCATTGGTGACCTTAAGCTCCCAAGCATTCTCCCTTAATTTCCCCATCAATCCTTGAGAGAAAAATGTTCCAAACTCAATTAGAGGGTAGATCTTTGATTCCCCAACTCAAAAGAGCACTTGGTCCACGTTTTGGCCGACGATTGTGTTTATTACTCTTGGAGCTTTGCTCCTAGCCGGCTAGAGCGTCGCCCGTGGAGCTTGCCAACTTATGTGGCAGCCTCGGGAGGTTTGTAACCACCTCTTGAAGCTAGTAAACTCACCCCTCATCTCAAGAGTTGAGTCTCTTGACTTGAGAACGAGGAAGGGTTGCAAAGCCCTAAGCCTTAATGGCTAACCTCAACAACGTGGACGTAGGCAAGCCTTGGTGGCAAGCTAAACCATGGGTTAAATCATCGTGTCACCTTGTGCTTGATTTACATCATTTGCATTTTATATTGTTGTTGAGGTGATTTCTAGGGTTTGTGGTCTATCTACGTGTGTTGTGTTCCTACCACTTCTCACTCTCGATCTGTGAATCTCATACCTGCAGGAATCTAAGAAATTTCTCTGATTCAAGTTTACATTCACTAATTTTGAACTGTGACTCAAAGTTGTCTGTAGGTGCGGCAGTGCCGTTGTCCGGCAGTGCAGCGAGGTCAGAGCGATAGTGCCGCATGTTGAATTTAATGAAAGTTTGAGTGTCTGTTTTGATAGACCTATTCACCCTCTCTAGGCTAACCAGAGATCCTACAAAGGTCCTTGTCCCAGTTAATCATCTTCCCAAAAGGAGACAAGGCAGTATCAATATATTGTTCATCGCAATAATTAAAAGGGAAACCTAGCAACATAAGCCAAACCTCCCTATTGAAAGTGACACGGTGCCAGTTACGGCCTTGATTATGCTTAGCAAAGGAAACAGTGACATTGTCAAACTGGGAGGGACTATTCTAGACCAATCTATCTCTATCATACACACAAGTAAACTTGACAAGTGCTTGGTCAAGATGACTTCTCTGAATATCTCTTGTCTGGACTCTAGCTACATCAACAAATAACTCTTCTAGCACTTCTCTAACAGCGTCAAAGTCTAAGACATTACCAGGTAGAGGATTTATGGTGACGATCGCCTAGTCTTCTTGCCTTGGAACTGGCCTAGAGCCAGCCATAGCTCTGACCATGAACTGCCTGTTCTCTATCTACTCCAGATGCATCCCCTGAGGAAGAAAAGACCCTGGGTCTACCCTCTAGAACACCATTTGTGATAATGGATCTCACTGGAACTCAGAGGGAGTGGTTTTGAAGACGATGGAATGTGGTTTTCTTGAATCACTATAACCCGCGGTGATATAAACCCAGGTCTATTAGAAGTCGAGGGGTCAGGACCGAGGCTTAAATCCAAGGAAACATGTGCACTCTTGTCCAGGTGGGGTCTGCCGTCCTTGGTCCCACTTGTCGTTGCCTTTGAGGGTAAATTCCATTGCACCACTTGGGGTTTAGGCTTCTCACCACTAGGGCGTAAATGCACAACGGCCCAATCTGAGAAGGAGTCAAAATAGGGGGTTTGCTCGGCCCAGGCCCATAAGGAGCTATAAATGGAATGGGCTGCTCGAGGGATGCTTTTCCATTTACTCGCACTAGAAAACCGAGATGAATTACTACCCTGAACCAAATTAACTGGGCAGTGTGATTGGACATGTCCCCAACGTAAGCAAGAACGGCATTTAATAGGTGCCCTGCAGAACCTTCTCTCTTGCGCATTGGACAGGCAACGCGAGCAAATCCTAGGATGTGTCATCATGGGAAGATATTCTGACTTGTCCGTTGACCCCGTTTGAAACCTTGAAGAGTGCAGGCGGCCCCTCTTTGCAGGTCGATGTAATAGTGGCAGGGTTCCAAGAACAGAGCTTCCAAGAATAGGGGATTTCAATGTCGTAGGAGCAGAATTTGCAGGAAATTCAAGACTTTTGAAGCTGAAACTCTGATTATTGAGTTGTGATCCAAATTCAGTTATGTACAAGATAAAGGCTAATTTCTGCTGGAGCGAAGCGAGGCCCGTCGCCAGAAGGCTTGGGCCGAAGCGAAGCACACATGATAATCCTGCTGATATGTTGACAAAGATAAGCACACATGATAATCCTGCTGATATGTTGACAAAGATATGCAAGATAAGCACACATGATAATACTGCTGATATGTTGACAAAGATATGCAAGATAAGCATACATGATAATCCTGCTGATATGTTGACAAAGCCAGTTCCTGTTGCAGCTCAAGCTTAGTTGGTATAACTGTTTAGCCCAAGAGGCTATTTGGCACCAGAAGTATTTCTTTGTTGTTTCAGGGTGAAAGTTCGTTTTATGCTACAAGAAGGAATTTGTCTCAAGGTGGAGTTTGTTGAGTTGTGATCCAAATTCAGTTATGTACAAGATAAAGGCTAATTTCAGCCAGAGCGAAGCGAGGCCCGTCGCCAGGAGACCGTCGCCTATTAGGGTTTTCCATCTATATATAGTTCATGTAAGCCGTCGTCTTGGGATAAGAAAAGTTGTAAATCCCCGACGTTTGTAACCTCACTCAATATAGTGAAGATTTGCTGGCTGGTGCCCGTGATTTTTTCCCTTCTTCCTTGGAAGGGTTTTCCACGTTAAAATCTCGTGTCCCATGTGTTTGATCTACTATTATTCGTCGTTTATTGCCTATTGTTTCTAACAAGTGGTACCAGAGCTTGGTTTCACCTTAGGGTTTCGCGATGACATCGATTAAGTTTGATCTACCACTGTTGGATTACAAAACGAGATTTGCACTGTGGCAAGTCAAGATGCGGGCGATTCTGGCACAATCTTCGGATCTGGATGAGGCGTTGGATGGTTTTAAAGGAAAAGGGCAAAAGTCATGGACCGCTGAAGGGAAGTGAAAGGATCGTAAGGCTCTATCTCTGATTCAACTTCATCTACATAATGATATTTTATAAGAAGTGTTGTAGGAGAAAACTGCCGCAGAACTTTGGCTCAAGCTAGAATTGATCTGCATGTCCAAGGATCTAACCAGTAAGATGCATGTGAAGATGAAGTTGTTCACGCACAAGCTGCAAGAAGGTGGTTCGGTGATGAACCACTTATCGATCTTTAAGGAGATCGTTGCCGACCTAGTGTCGATGGAGGTAAAATATGATGATGAAGATTTAGTTCTTCTACTGTTATGCTCACTGCCTACTTCATTTGCAAATTTCCGAGATACCATACTATTAAGCCGTGATGAACTAACCCTTGCTGAAGTATATGAGGCCCTCCAGATGAGGGAGAAGATGAAAGGTATGGTTCAGTCTGACATGTCGTCCTTCAAGGGCGAAGTGTTGCAGGTTAGAGGCAGGCCCGAGCAGAAAACCTACAACAACAACAACAATAATCGAGACAAGAGCAAGAACGGTAAAGGCCGTTCCAAGCCCAGAGGTAGGGATAAGTTCTACAGGTATTGTAAGAAAGATACTCATGCCATTGATGATTGTTGGAAGCTACAGAATAAGGAGAAAAGAAATAGTACGTATAAATCAAAAAACAAATCCGATGGTGATGGTAAGGCCTCTGTTGTCTCTACTGTTGATACTTCTAATTCAGGAGACGTTCTTGTTGTTTTTGCTGGTTGTGTTGCTGGTCGTGATGAATGGATACTTGATTCTGCACGCTCGTTTCATATATGCTCTAACAGAGATTGGTTCAGTTCTTACGAGTCTGTGCGGAGTGGAGATGTCGTGCGTATAGGAGATAACAACCCACGTGAGATCATGGGCATTGGCTCAATCAGATCAAGTTGCATGATGGCATGATACACACACTGAAAGATGTGAGACACATACCAGGGATGGCTAGAAATCTCATCTCCCTCAGCACACTTGATGCCCAGGGGTACAGACACTCTGGTTCAAGTGGAGTGTGTAAGGTATCAAAAGGCTCTCTCATTCATATGATAGGCGATATGAATTCTGCAAAGTTATATGTTCTTATAGAAAGTACTTTACATGGTTCTTTCACTGCTGCTACTGTTTCTAATGATGAACCAAGTAAAACTAATCTCTGGCATATGCGTCTTGGGCATATGAGTGAACTTGGTATGGCAGAATTGATCAAGAGAGACCTACTAGATGGTTGCACTATGGGTAAGATGAAGTTCTGTGAGCACTGTGTTTTTGGTAAGCACAAGAGGATAAAATTCAATACATCTGTTCATATTACCAAAGGTACACTTGATTATGTACATGCTGATTTGTGGGGTTCGTCTCGTAAGCCTTCTTATGGTGGTGCTCGTTACATGCTTACCATTATTGATGATTACTCTAGAAAAGTATGGCCTTATTTTCTGAAAAATAAAGATGATACTTTTACTGCTTTTAAAGAGTGGAAAGTTATGATAGAAAAGCAAACTGAAAAGAAGGTAAAATTGCTTCGTACTGACAATGACGGTGAATTCTGTTCGAATGCTTTTAATGATTACTGCAGGGAAGAAGGCATTGTCAGGCACCACACCATCCCGTACACTCCTCAGCAGAATGGTGTGGCTGAGCGCATGAACCGAACAATCATCTCGAGGGCTCGTTGCATCTTTGTCCAATGCTCTTATGAATAGACATTTTTTTTATTTGAGGTCGCTAACACCGCTTTGTTACTTGATCAACCGGTCACCTTCTATCCCACTTAATAAGAAAACTCCCATTGAGGTATGGTCTGGTATGCCCGCTGATTATTCACAGTTGAGAGTTTTCGGTTGCACTGCTTATGCTCATATTGATAATAGAAAGCTAGAACCTAGAGCCATTAAGTGTCTGTTTCTTGGTTATGGTTCTGGAGTTAAAGGATATAAGTTATAGAATCTTGAAACTAAAAAGACTTTCATGAGCAGGAGCATTATTTTCAATGAATCTGTTATGTTTAATGATAGCTTGTCCATAGATGTTTCACCAGTTGGTTCTAATGAGGAGCAGGAACATGTTAGCGTACAGGTGGAGCACGTAGATGATCAGGAAACTGAAATTATTCATAACAATGTTCATGATATTGTTCAACACTCACCTCCTGTTTTGCAGCCTCAAAATTAGTCTATTGCAGATCGCAGAACAAAGAGGAATTGTGGACCTCGTCCACGTTTAATTAAGGAATGTGATATTGTTCATTATGCCTTTAGTTGTGCTGAACAGGTTGAGAACATTCATGAGCCGGCTACGTACACTGAAGCTGTTGTTTCTGGTGACCGCGAAAAGTGGATTTCCGCTATGCAAGAGGAGATGCAGTCACTCGAGAAAAATGGCACATGGGATGTTATGCGCTTGCCTAAACAAAAGAAGGCCGTTCGTTGTAAATGGATCTTCAAGAGAAAGGAGGTTTTGTCTCCTAGTGAGCCTCCAAGATTTAAGGCAAAGTTAGTAGCAAAAGGTTTCAGTCAGATTCCTGGTGTTGATTATAATAATGTGTTTTCTCCAGTTGTAAAGCATAGTTCAATTCATACATTTTTCTGTATTGTTGCTATGCGAGATCTTGAGCTTGAGCAGTTAGATGTAAAGACTGCGTTTCTACATGGAGAGCTCGAGGAGGAGATATACATGGACCAGCCAGAAGGGTTCATAGTACCTGGTAAGGAGGATCATGTTTGCAAATTAAAGAGGTTCTTATATGGTTTGAAACAGTCTCCTCGTCAATGGTATAAAATGTTTGATTCTTTTATGATGTCACATGGTTTTAAGAGGTCTGAATTTAATAGCTGTGTGTACATTAAATTTGTTGATGGTCACCTATATACTTGCTGTTATATGTTGATGATATGTTGATTGTTGCCAAGAGTAAGAAAGAAATCACTACATTGAAGAAACTGTTGAGTAGTGAGTTTGAGATGAAGGATCTTGGTGTTGCTAAGAAAATTCTAGGTATGGAAATTACAAGAGTTAGAAATTCTGGTTTGTTATTTTTTAGTCAACAAAGTTACATTAAGAAAGTTCTTCATCATTTCAACATGCATGATGCAAAGTCAGTTAGTACTCCTATTGCTCCTCATTTTAAATTATCAGCTTTACAATGTGCTAGTACTGATGAGGATTTTGAGTACATGTCAAGAGTTCCATATTCTAGTGTTGTTGGTTCTTTGATGTATGCCATGGTTTGCTCTTATCCTGATTTATCATATGCTATGAGTTTGATTAGTAGATACATGGCTAGTCCTGGTAAAGAACATTGGAAGGCCGTTCAGTGGATTTTTAGGTACCTTCGTAGCACAACAAATGTTTGTTTGAAGTTTGGCAAGACTAATAAGGGACTCACTGGCTACGTGGATTCAGATTTTGCTGACGATTTGGATAAGAGGAGATCTCTCACAGGTTATGTGTTCACTATTAGTGGTTGTGCTGTGAGTTGGAGGGCAACATTGCAGCCCGTTGTTGCCCTGTCTACCACTAAAGCAGAATTGGCTGTTGCTGAAGCATGTAAAGAATCGGTTTGATTGAAAGGTTTGTTTGCTGAGCTTTGTGGAAATGATACTTGCATTAATTTGTTTTGTGACAGTCAAAGTGCTATATGTCTCACTAAAGATCAGATGTTCCATGAGAGAACGAAGCATATTGATATCAAATACCATTATATTCGTGATGTTGTCGCACAAGGTAAGCTAAAGGTATGCAAGATAAGCACACCTGATAATCCTGCTAATATGTTGACAAAGTCAGTTCCTATTGTTAAGTTTGAACTTTGCTCAAGCTTAGTTGGTATAACTGTTTAGCCCAAGAGGCTATTTGGCACCGGACGTATTTCTTTGTTGTTTCAGGGTGAAGGTTCGTTTTATGCTAAAGAAGGAATTTGTCTCAAGGTGGAGTTTGTTGAGTTGTGATCCAAATTTAGTTATGTACAAGATAAATGCTAATTTCAGCCGGAGCGAAGCGAGGCCCGTCGCCAGGAGACCGTCGCCTATTATGGTTTTCCATCTATATATATAGTTCATGTAAGCCGTCGTCTTGGGATAAGAAAAGTTGTAAATCTCCGACGTTTGTAACCTCACTCGATATAGTGAAGATTTGCTGGCTGGTGCCCATGGCTTTTTCCTTTTTCCTTAGAAGGGTTTTCTACGTTAAAATCCCATGTTCCCTATGTTTGATCTACTGTTCTTCGTTGTTTATTGCCTATCTTTTCTAACACTGATCGGGATGGCATTAGCCCCAATCAACACTGAGCGCATAGAAACAACTTGCCAAGAACTCTCTTCTGTTAAAAAATTCCTCCATTCTAACTGCCAGTTCGGGCCTCCATTGTTCCAGAGATGGATGAACAGCTTGTAACAGGCAAAAGAACGGGACTTGTACAACGAGTGACCAACAAGATTTGAAGAGACAGAAAAATGAAAGACACGGTCACCCAGCTGAAACACCTTGAACTCATCAGCAAGACCACCATAGGTGGCTTGGAGAATGAGGCCAACAGAGCGGCGACACAGACGAAAAACGCAGCTACCAAAAGAAACCACCAGGAAGAAAGAACGAGAAGAAATCACAGGAACGCCAGATGCAAACCTGATGATCCTGACCCGGGGAGAAATCAAGGCCCGGGAGCTCCATGAGAGAGGATTGTCCCCGTGGTGCTTGCTTCAGTTCCGCTTCAGCAATACTCCGAGCAGGTTGCAGGCGAGCTACTCAGCGGCCACCCTCTTCCAGCACCAGCTTTGATGATGGCGGGCACTGATGCTGCTGTGCGGCCGAAGCTTGGGCTGCGGCTACTGCTAGCAACGGGAGTGACAGCTCAGACCTGGGCTAGGTCCTCCGAGAAGAAAACCCGTCCACCATGGCAGACACGAGAGAGAACGGGCACAGCATAGGGAGGAGCGCCGGTGCCGGAGCAGCGAAGGACTCCTTCAAGTTGCTTTGTTAAAAGAAATACTTCGAAATATTGGAGTGTACCAAGAGCAAGGTGAAAGTGTAGGAGAGCTCAAAGCCAAACTTGCAGAAGCCATTAGTTGGAAAATGCATCAGGAAGGATTTATCAATCCAATTACATTTGTTACTTACACCAAGCATCAACTAGCATAGTACAGCATATCAAGATGAAGGCGTACATGGCGGCACTAATTAATACTATATATGATATAACAGTGAGGAATAAATAGACTGCATGCATGGACAGAGGCAGAGGCAGAGCTACGGTAAACGCCGATAGTGGGGGGTTTAAACTTGTTGTTGGGTAGTTTGTCCACCGTCGTCCGATCCTTGCCGCCGTGGTCTTCTTTATGCCCGCTTCCGGCAGACCGACAGACTTACATGGATGGCGACAAACAACAGCACGGGGATGACCAGTGCGCCGATATACAGAGTCGTCTTCAAGTGCCTGCTGGAGCCGGCTGCGTAGGCCAATAGTAATCCAAGACACTGCAGAGAGACCAGCCCATTTAACCCCGTTTTGTATAACTTGTGGAACTCCTTAGTCCGGTCATGGAGCAGCACGTCGGGCAGCAACATGGGGATAAGCATAATCGACGCCATGAAGGAGGTGGTGTTGCTCAAGAAGAAGGCGAAGTAGCGTATCCGCCTGTTGTCATACATCACCGGGTTGCCCGCGTCGTGCCCATCGCTGCTACTCTGCCAAGACCCGCCTGGCGGATCTAGGCCGGTTGGGTAGGTAGCACTTGCCACGAGGATCGCTAGGGTTACCAGATATACACTTTTGCTCGTTTTCTTCTTCTCCTCCTCCTCCACCTCCTCCTCCTTCTTCTTAATATTATCGGATGTGGTTCTAGCTTCTTCCTCCTTTTGCCCCTCTCCCAGACCCATGTCGTTCTCTATTTCTTTTTCTTCTCCTCTCTCCCCCAAGGGCTTCTTATTAGTTTCAATGGAGCTGCAGCTAGCAAGCGGGGCTGCAGGAGCACCCCCAGCTGCCCCCATGTTGGAAATGGATCCGTCACTACTACCACTCAGCGATTGCTTATCGTCCTTCTGCCGTTGCAGATATATCCACAAAGGTATGACTAGACAAATGAAGAAGGTCACGGCCGCCAGCACGAAGATGTAGATTGATCCTTTCATATGCTGCGTGCTTCCGGCGGCAAAGGCACCCATGAGACAGATGTAACTCACCGCGGAGCTAACAGATAAGGCATGGCTTCGTATGGCTGGCCCGGACTCAATGGGGTTGATGCGGAGTAGGATAAGGACGATGGACACCATGAAGCTCACCGAGTTTGCAGTAGATGAAGGTTCTGTAGCGGCGTGGATAGTTGTAGCGGAGAACCGGGTCACCGGCGTGGTGCCCGGACTGGGCGTCGTCCTTGAGCAAGAAGCCGCCCGGCGGTGTCAAGCCGGCCTGGTAAGTGATGCTGGCAACCAAGATGGCGAAGAGAAGGAACCGGTCGCCCATCTTTTCCACCAACTTGTCGTCGTCTTCTTTCTTGTTCGCGTCGCCCAGCGTGAAATAGGAAACGTTCACGAACACATAGACCACCGCGGCACCGGCAAGGCCCGCGACATACAGGGTGGACACCTGGTCCCGGCAGCTGCCGATCGCATACGCGCCGACAAGGCCAAGCATGTCCACTAACATGGCGGCCTCCAGCGCGTGGTGCTCGTGCAGGGATTCTTTCTGTGCAAGGAACATGGCGAGCAAGGAGGCCACGAAGGACACCGAGTTGCAGTAGTAGAAGCCCTTGTACCGCTTGGCGTTGGTCGTTAGGAGGATAGGGTCGCCGGCCATGTTGTCGTCGTCTGCGTTGGCCGGCCAAAGCCCACCCGGCGGGTACAACCCCGCTTGGTAAGTGATGGCCACCGCAAGACCTGCCATCAGCTGCACTAGTTTAGCCTGGCGACGACGTTTCGTCCTTGGCTCAGCTCCGCTGTTAAGTAGAAAATTGCAAACCAGAATCATAAATCTATATGTTTGATTGACGTATATACAAATTCTACTTGCCACATAATAACTTATTCTATGGTCATTTTGAGTTACAATAACGATTATACTAATTGATGAGATTACTATAACCCATTCTAAGTAGTTTACTATAACATTATGGTAGATATCATCACGAATTATAGTAACATATGTATCGTAGATATGTATTTACTTTATCGTAAATTAGTATAAACATTATAGTAAATCAAAGTGTGTGTGATGAGAGAGAACTCTAGTGAATGTAGAGTATTAGTAGTATATACCTGCTGTCTACTTTCATCAACTTTGACACTTTACGGGCGACCGCTTCCCACAAGCTCGTGCCTTTTCTTTGTATGGCTTCTATTTTTGATGAAGAATGTGTTTGTATGGCTTTCTTGACAATCACATAAGCAGCCACATATAACACGATGCATACCAAAGCAGCTTCAGTCAGCCAGCCAGTGCTGCTGCGCCCCCGGCTGCTGGCGCTGATGTACGCGAACAAGAGGCCGCCAAGCAGGCCCAAAACCACTAGGAAGATGGTGAAATGAGACAAAAGACCAACAGCCGATGTCTTCTTACGCACAACAATAGAGACGCCGTACAGGGACGCGGCGAATGCCAAGGTGTTGCTGAGGAGGAACCCTCGCAGGGTTTTGCCGTGCAGGCGGTCCTTGAGAATGGCGTCGCCTGGGCGGTGGCCACCCTCCGCGCTGTCCCAGAAACCACCGGGTGTGCTCAGCCCGGCCACGTACGTGATGGTCACCGCGAACATGTTGACGGGAACCATCAGCTTGCGAAAAACTTTTCGCCCCTGGTCGTCGTCTTCTTCTTCTTTCCTCGCCGCCGCCTGGACAGGGCCCATGCTGGATCCGCCATTGCCTCGAAGCCTAAGAATAACAATTCGACTGATAAACAAGGCCAAGGGCCGCCGGGCACCAGCAAAAGCAGTACCAGACCACCATCAGTTTGTCTTGGCAAGCCCCGGCACCGTAGGCAGCCGCCAGGGCCAACATGGCAACCAGCATGAGACTCATCACCAGAAACAATCCGTGTTTCTCGTAATTGAGACTTCTCATCTTAGGTTTGGCGGTGACGAGCAGAGTGAGCACCACGACGGCGAGCGAGAAGGCGAACGCGGCGGCGTTGCAGTAGAAGAACACCACGTACCGACCGTGGTGGGTGGACCGCATGATTGGGTCGCCGGGGAGGTGTTGTCCCGTGGCGTCGTGGATGTCTTGCCACACACCGCCCGGCGGGTTGAACGCCGCCGCGTACGTCGCCGTGGCCACCAGCGTCGCCAGCATCTGGATGTTCTTCATCAGCTTTCTCCTGTACTCCTCGTCGTCCATGGTGAAGGTGGCACTGTACAAAAGTGGCGCCTAAAAGTTCTACTCTTTGGGAGGAAGATCGATATGATATGGCCTGCGCTGGACCTCTTCGTGAACGGTGAACGTATATAGCCAGCAGCACACAGCGCGCGGCCTATGTGTTCCTCATCTCTTGTGCCAACTTGCCGGATTAAAGATTCATATATATATAGCTGTCCGACGACCATTCCCAAAAGATTAAAGATTCATTGTCATGTGACGACTC